GTCTCTGATATGACCTGATAGGAAATTTGAAGAAGAAATATTAATTAGGGACAAAAAAGAAAAAAAAAAAAACCTCGAGATGAGATAAAAAAACAAAAAAAAAATCTTAATTTAGATAGTGAAAATGACTCAGAGCATGTTTGGGTTAACTTGTAAGAGTTATTTTTTTTTTGTACTGTTCATAAATGATAAATTTAAATTTTTATCAGATGAAAATTTTAAAAGTTATTTTTAAAATTAAGAAAAAATGAGTAAAAAGTGAATAAAAAAAGCATTTCTGAAAAACCTGAATTAGAAAATTTTAAACTTTTACTTTTTGATATCTTTTTAAAGTTAAAAAATTTTTTTAAATGTAAGTTTTTAAGAAAAAAATTTAAACTTATGAAATATGAATAATGTCAAAAAACTGAAGTACTTGAAAGCTGAACCAAATATGCTCTAAATTAAAAAACAAGGAAGATATTTATTATATTTATCGACTAGACCTTTAAAAAATTAAGAAAAAAATATTAAAATTATATCATTTTATTAAAATTTAATGGTAAAATTTAAAATAATTTTATTTAAAAAATTATTTATAAATTTTTTTTCAAATAAGAGTTTAATGAAACTAATAGTTTCAGGGTGTTTTCTAGTAAGTACTTTACTCAAGGAGGGAATATTAAGCAGAGAGAAAATATAAAGAAAAACATTCCGATTAAGGAATTAGAGACATCTGTTAAATTTATAACAGCAGAAGACACAAATTTGAATTATATTAATAAGTGCATTTTGTTTGGTAGAACTTAAAATTACATCCTTTGGACCAGAAAGGCTGCAAGTCTACTTCAATGATCGAAAGTACAAAAACAATCTGCAACATAAGGCTATATGCTATATATCATCAAGATGTTAAAGAACGATTACCCCCTGAGCTAAACCTTATACAATGATGTGATTATGTTAATAATTTGATCCAAAGCAAGTCAAGCCTGTAATATTCTATATCCATGCCAAAGAACATTTCAATGCAGCAAGACAAGTGAAACTCCTACTGGGGGGAATCCAGAACCTATATATGAACGAGTTGAGATCAGTTTCTTAAAATCCTCTTCGCTTCTCCTACTGGGGGGAATCCAGCTCTATCTGACACTTCTTTCCTCTTCTTCAATGTCTCTCCAATCTGGCTAGTATAGATCTTGCTAGAGGTATGATATGCAGAAAGAGTGTTGATGCTTGTGTCTGGATGAGATTACCCCGTTATTAGCTTGCTATTACCTTTGCTATCATCAACACTACCACTAGTAGCGCCATCACTTGTTTGACGTCTTAAAACCTTCTTCACTCGAACTTGCCTATGACCACAGGCCTGAGATGAAGCAATCATCTCACCATCAATGTCCTCAATAGCAGAACTAGTGCCACTATCAGTTGTTTGACTATATAAGGCATCTTTCCTGCTTGGTTGCCTGCCACCAGAGCCAAGAGATATGCTAAGTTCATCACTCTTGGCTCCATTGCAGGAATCCCACTTGGTATTAGATCCAGGATGGATGTTGATTGGCTTTCCAGCTGAACCATTAGCTTGAGTAAACCTCTTATTTTCAGATGTTAGAGCTTCTTTTCTGTCTTGTTCCAACAGCCTGAGCATCTGCTGGATGACCTCTGAAATATTTGAGCATGGACTCATGAGGAACAGCAATAACCGGCCACACATCAAATAGATGAAAATAACATCTAAACATAAAACAAAATGTTAAAATAAGATTAACTGCGCATAGAATATTTTCAGAGAAAATATGTCATGCATAAAGGGAAAACAACTTCATTGACAGTGAGGATGGTATTTCAAAAGGAAGTCTATCATCATTCATATATCTACCAAATTTCTCTCTGTGGAACAAAAGTTACAAGATTAGAACCTCACCCACCTTCAGACTCTTAAGAATCTTTTTGGTCATTAGAAGTGTTATGCATCTTCAAACAATTTCATAAGCAGAGCACATATCACAGGTCATGCTTCATCACTTAAAATATGTGTGGTATGGTGATTGTATTAATAAAGAGAGGTATAGCAGCAAACCCTCTAATTGTCTGGGCGAAATATCAAATTCCAGCCACCACACCTTTCCCTCTTCCACTTGAAGCTTCACTTTTAGAAATTTGGCAGCAAGGAACAATGAACCAGCAGCAATGTATTGAGGTCTGTACTGCAAGCACAGAGTCGTACAAAGCCTGCCAGTTCAGTGCATGAAGTGTTTAATATCTGTAAAGATGATGGGTAAATAACATAATTTGAATCAACAGCTAGGTCATTAAAGGTAACCTTGATTACAAAGGATAATTCTTACCAATCGTTTACAAAATTCCAAGCTACTTTTGGAAGGTCAGGATGAATCTTCAATCTCTTTAATACTGCAACAAGTGGCTTATAAGGGAGTTCGATATTTAGATCATATGCAATAGTTGCCAATAGAAGTCTCTCCCCTACAACAATCAATTCTTTCCGCTGATCATAAACCTCCTACAAAGGAAATACTTAAAAAAATCAGCAAGCATGATAAACATTTAAAGGCTTAGACTCAATATTGAGAAATGGCATAACTGAATACCCTTTGTCTAATTTTATGTGAAGCAAAAGGATGCCAATCATAAATCATCTCATAAGCCACGATAACAACATCCCGGAGAAAGCGTGGTGTTTCCATTATTTTGCCAGCAAGAAATATGCTCACAGTTGCAATTGTCTGCAAAATGTACCTCATCGTGTTTAGATATAGGAACATTCAGTTGAATAAAAATGAACAACAAACTAATATTTAGAAGTTTTCTAGCTTCCGCTTTTGTTAACCATAAAAGCTAATTTGTTTAACAAAAATTTAATGAGAAAGATGAAAAATAGCAGAAATACTACTAAAGAATATAATGTTTACAACCTCTTATTATAACTAATAAGATGACATCACAGCTATCCTGATTGGAGCTGCACGGGTATCTGGTGCAAACATTTAAAAAATTGTCAAGTCTTGAATTAAATAGACTACTAGCATCCATTAGCATCCACAACCATCCATCTAAATGTTCCCAGAAAAATTCCAATTCGGAAACGCAAAATATAAAGAGTTAGAAAAGCTAAGGGAAGGCATAAAAAGAGATTGATTTGATTTGAAATTTACCTGCCAATCATTCTTGGCATGAGACTGACGCATATAAAACCGGTGGCACAACATCATTCCACATGCTATTGCTACTTGAGGCCTGTACAGAAGATACTGTCATTTACCATCTCATAGAGTGATAAATGCAACATAGATTTCCAATGAGAAGTCAATGTAAGGAGTGCAGAAAAACTTAAGTAAATAGACATTTATATGCTTAAATGCGTAAATCTAATGCAACAAGGAATAATCAAAGAGCATAGCAACTTCAAACACTTTCATAAAACCTTTCATTAAGTTATTCTACAGGCTTGTTTGTATCATCGTACACTTACATATCTAGCTTCATCCCAAGCTTTCGAAGAAATGAACAATATGACTTCCGCAAATGAATCTCTTCCTCAAGGTCAATGCCATCCTTCCTAGATGGGGAACATTCCTCAATTTCTTGGCAACTGAGGTACCACTTGCGTGTGGAGAATTTAGGCTCTTCCATAGCATGCATGCTAGTTGAGCATCTCATATCCCTGGGCAAAGGTGCTCCCATTGCCACCACAAACTCTACAAGTCAATATCGAATTGAACCTCTTCCTCCTAAAAACTGGACAAAAATTTTAATTAACACATGTAACTTGGAACAAAGTCTAGTCAACTTGAGGAAAGATAAGCAATATATATACATGCACAAATATGACCATTCCTCGAGTTATCAAATGATAATAAAAACTGCAAATCCAGAGGATTACTAAGAATGAGTAAAACCCATTTGAGCAAATTTATCAATTGCATATGAGTTTGGTTAGTCTTTCTTCTGTAATTCTGTCACTTCCAAATTCTGTAACTAACCAGACTACCTAATTTCTCCATCCATTTGGCCAAAAAAAAAAAAAAACAAATATCAAGCCGAAGCAGTTGCTAAAAAAAGGGTTTCAATTCGACACAAATCATTCTTCCCCCAGATGCGAATTCAAGTTTTATCAATCCAGGGGGAAAATGTGAGTACCCAAGAATGTATCTAAGTTCTTTAAATTCAAGTCGATTTTTAGTTGCTAAAACCCAAAAACAAAGAATAAAAGAAAAAAAAAAAAAACTAATACGAAGTTAAATAAAATCGAGGGAAAAAAAAATCCCAAATTTATGCAACCCACAATTCACACGTAATGAATCGTAAAAATTAGAACGCGAAGAACACCGAAACCACTACAAAGATGGAATCGCATACTGGCATTGAAACAAAGTAATCAAAGGAGAGAAGAAAGCAACAAATCCTAGAGTAAAGATTAAGATGAGAAAGAAGTACCTGAAGCAAAATTAGCAACGGAAAAACCCTAGCATGCTTCCAGTTAGTAGAAGAAATCGTATGGCGCCATTGTTGATTCTGTGCTGTCTCCACTTATAAAGGCTTTTGATTGAGTACGGATTCTACGGAAGGTCAGTGGTAACGAAAACATTTGCTGTGGTGCCTTGCGCTGCACGTACGCGGGTGACTATCATTGCTCCACGTTAAGCGCTTTTCAACTCTTAAATCTCATGTACCTTTAAAAGTTAAAACTCAATAAGCCGATGGGCTATGACCTGTGGTTTTAAATTTGATTCAAACCGAGTTTTGTGACTAATGGTTCATTTCCAAACCTTAATACAGTAAGATACATACTGTATTAAAAAAAGGTTGCTACAAAATGGCTTCATTAATAAGTTTCTCCCTTGCAATTCTCAATAAGGTTGATTTGCTTCTCTCTTCTTTTCCATTTTTTTTTTAAATGAGAAATTTATTTATTTTTTACTAATTGTCAATTAAAAAAAAATTCAATTCATTAAAAGTAATGGAGTTATTAGTTTCTTTATTTTGTTTTTTAAAGGAGGAAAGCTATAGTTTCTAAGCATTAAAACACTTTGGTGGGCCATCATAAGTTATTTCAAATCAACTCCTGCCATTGTATTTTCAATTCTCTTATTCAAACACTCTTTGCAAGTTGGGAGTTGGACTTTACAAGTGTCGATGGGAAATCCCACAACAACTGAGTGTAATCAAGACATAAAGTCAGCAATATTAATCATGTTTAACAACTTTATTTTATTTTATTTTGACATAAACTATATTGTTTAATAATTGACACTTATATATGTAATCATATGCTTAATTTTACTAGGAAGGCTATAACCTCTCATGTGGGTCTATAAAGTATCATTTTACATAACCTAGCTAGTGGCCCTAATTGAATGCTACTCACTTTATCGTATTATTGTACTAAAATTCTTTTCCCTCTGAGCACAAGTTGTACAATATGATATCAAATTTTAAATTTTTAGTTTGAAATTTAAATTATTATAAGAGTTATTTATTTTACCGTTTATATTATATTAAATTATAAAATAATAATTACACTTAGATTTTGTAAGTTAATAATTATGTATCTCATCATAAGATACATTTCTAACTTTAGTACTGGAGTTCAATTCCTTTTCTCTTAAAATTGTAATATGTTCAAAAAAGATTATAAAATAATAATTATTAAATAAGAAAGTATTTGTTAATATTAAAAAATTTACTTTTATTTAATAATTTATATAATGTTGTTTAAATTATGCAATAGTTTTTTTGTTATTACAATTACTCAATTATACAACTAATATCTTGCACCATAAAACATATTAAGTTTATACAATAATAGGCAATTGACTACAAAACAATAATTGTTAGGTAAAAGAATAATCCTTAATGTCAAGAATCTCATCTCTCATACAATAATTTAAGTTGTATAGTATAATATATATATATATATTAATTATAATTCACTCTTGTTCATCTAATTGGAATCAAACAGATTGTCATTCGTTCTCTAAACACCTGAAACAAATGAAGCTGGCTTATTGAATGATCTACAAACAACTACATAAATTAGAAGAGTATTTTATGCAAATTGTAGACCAAAATTCAAGTATCAAATCATTTAAAAAATACCAAGTTTAGCAACACGTGTGCCAAGCAAAACTAAGTGGTCTTTGGTCAAAAAGAAAAAAACAAAATAAAGGAACACACCCCAAGTGCTGCGTGCAAATATTTTATCTCATCTTCTTCTGTTCTCTGTCTTTCTGGCATAGGCATGCTTCCTAACAATTCAGCTGTGCGAATCATATGGAAGAGAATATATTATATGTGGAAAGAGAGTTGGCATGACTCTTTAATCCCAAAAAGAAAGATCACGATTTGCACCCACCACCATCATTTACTTATTAGAAAAAAAGAAAAAAAAAAAAACAGAAAAAAAGAATTAAGAACAAATGGATGCCACTATATATCCTTTTCCCTTATAATTGGACAAGGAAAGGGGGTGAATACAACTCACAATTCATTCATATGGTTGGAGTTTCTCTCATTTTCAATACCCACTATATCACAGAAGTTAGGGATAAGAACATGCTTAGAATTCCATTATATATATATATATATATAGTTAAATGAAGGATTAGAATACCAAGAACTTACTAATTTAATTTAATTAATAATTATTATTTAATTGTCAAATTAAACTTTTGATCGTATCTTGCAAATTTTCATTTATATCACTAAAGTTTGAGCTCGGTTTGGCAAAATAATTATGTCTTTTTTTAATTTTTATATTAGAATAAAAACTGAGTTTTTCACAGAATTTTATATATACATCAATCTTTTAAAATTGTTGAAAGGTCGTATTGATAATCATTTAAGTTAGGAGGCTACAGTAAGGAGCACAATTTAGTTTCCAGATAGAAGATTTTTTGTATGATGTTGGGCAAGTTTTGTGGCTATAACATGATATAATATTTTTAAAATTTTATAAATGCAGCTAGTTGGAGTACTATTTATATTTCCAGATAATGAGATTATTTTTGTTTTATAATATATATATATATATATATATTCTTCAAACTAAACATTACTTTTCAGGAGACTATTCAGTATTAAGTGAACTCTTTCTACAATTTAGGTTAATTATTTATTGAAGATAGATCTTCAAAAATTCTAATTGATGATGTCCCCTCTTCCCTGCATCAATATTCCTTTTCATATGTCCATGTTCTGTCTTTATTTAACACGATCTTGTACTATGAGGAACAAATCTTTTGTAATTATTTCTTTATATTCTATAGAGACTTCAAAATTTTAAAAATCTGAAACTTCATTTTAGAATAATGTGTAATTTTTGAATTTAAAAAATTTAAAATCTAAAACTTAATTTTAGATTTAATTACTGTAATACTATTTTTCCTTTTTAGATCGTTTAAATACTTATTTTCAAGGAGAACGGCCTTATGTTATGGCTTAGTAATTACTAAGCCTTTGTAAATGTGCTTCTCATGATAAGCTGGACGTGTAGTGTTTGAGTTCCACCCCAACTTTCAAGAAAAGAAAACTTATTTTAAAGGAGGGGTTAGAAAACAAGTAAAAAATAAACTCTTAATTAATTATTAATCAAACACAGAAATTCAGGTGACTGCTCTGCCTAATGGTGTCCATTAACATCTCCATTTTCCTCATTAGTATTATCCAAAGATTCCTTCATGTAATACTCAAACTTCTCAACCACCCTCTCCGGCATCGACACCAGCACTGTCACGGCGTCAATATCGCCGGTGACCGGCAAAAACAAGCAGTAGATATCACTGGACAGTGGGCCCATATGCAAAGGCTTTCCTTCGCCGAAGTCCAATTCCTCCAGGCCCAACTTGGCCCACTGCGAAATCACAAAACTCGTAGTAAGATCTGTTTTTACCGTTTTGTCCTCTAACAAATCAACCATTGACCTAACGTAATCGTCCGTCAAACTCAATTTAGCTTTCCGCACCAGCTCCACCGTCTGACGTAAAGTCCCGACTGCCAGATCTTCCACCGTGCTCTCCGCACAGGCGAGAACGAACCCATTCCCATAATAGCCCGGCGGTAATTCCGGATTAACCTTTTTCCTCACGTTGACAGAGAACAAGAGCTTGACGTTGAGAGACTGCGAGAGGTCCAGCGCCCTAACCCACGACCGCCAGGCGTGCGACGCCAGTGCCTCGAAGGCGGTGCATTCCAAGGACGGGACGCACTGTCGTTTCAGGTGGAGGATTCGAGACGCAGTAAAGGTGAACGAGGCAGGAACCAGCGGCTGGGACTGTAAAAATTCCTTCAGGTCCACCTGGCCACAGTCCTCAGGGGTACTTTTGGTATATCCAGGATGGCTGAAGGTAACGTGGGGAGGGTCCCGGGGGTTGAACATGTGGCGAGTGTGGAACGGTGTGATTGGTACATCGTGATTCGGTTTAGTGGTGATGTGGGCCCAAGCGTGCAGGAACTGAGATGTACCGATGCCGTCGCACAAACAATGATTGATCGCGGCGCAGAGGATCATGCCTCCACAACGGAGATTCGTCACCTGCATGGTAAAACATTAAAAATCATTGAAGTTAAAATATAAGGGCAATCATGTAATTTTACACCAACCACAACAAAGTTAGTATATTATCCTTCCTCTAATCACATTTAGGCATCTCACTTTATCTATTCACACTTTATCTATTAACAATTATTAAAATATTCATTTATTACAATATTAAAACTTATCTTTTAATTTTCACCTTTGTTTATAATTAAATGAAAAAATCTTAATACACATCTATCTTTTCCCTAGTTTGAATTTAGTTATCTTGTTTTATCTATTCATGATTATTAAAAAATTCATTTATTATAATAATTAAAACTTATCTTTTAATTTTCACCTTTGTTTATAATTAAATGAAAAAATCTTAATACACATCTATCTTTTCTCTAGTTTGAATTTAGTTATCTTGTTTTATCTATTCATGATTATTAAAAAATTCATTTATTATAATAATTAAAACTTATCTTTTAATTTTCACATTTATTTATAATAAAGTGAAAAAATCCTAATACATATCTAAAGAGTAAAATTAAAATATTAACATTTAATGTATTATTAAAATAAAAAATAAGTTAACTTAATCTGACCACCTCTTAGAAAGTGAAATAATTAAATCTCACCGGACTGAATAATATATTTGGACTGGGAGGAGAGGTGAGTTTTTTTATTAGTAGCAAATTCTGAATAATTAGTATCCAAATATTTATTATTTATTTATAATTCAAACATTTTTATTAATTTAAATTCCTAACTGCTACCCTCTAACCGTTTGAATTAGGAAAATTAAAGGTTTGCACTTTGCACCTAACACACAAGGGCATAAAAAAGGACAAAACGGTGCCGGATGCAAGGCAATGGCAAGAAGGTGAGAGTGACGTCGTTTCATTTTTCATCGTACTGTTGCTTTTGAAATTCCACATGAATATGATTGAAAGAGAAGGATCATGTTGTAGAACATGGAATGAAACTGTTTGTCCATGTTAAAATATAGTACAGACAGAAAATATTAAAGCTATTATAGATTCATTTTTCTTGGATTGAATTGAATAGATTTGTAAAGAAATTTAAGGAGATATGAAATCTGACCTGTACAACAAGGGGAGGGACATTCAGGAAACTGGAAGCTTCAACTTTGTAAAGCAGTTTCCTACTCCAGGATTTGTTTGGTTTCTTAGAAACTTGAAGAAACTCTTCAGCAGTAATATCCATGAAAGCTTCAGCAAACAAGGCACCCTGTCCATTGCAATCAATCTCCAGCTTCTGATCATCGTGGACGGCCGCTCTCAACCTCCCGGCTAATGGGTAGTAATCGACTAGAACTTTGGACAGAGAATGCTTCAGGGTGTCAGAGCTCACAGCTTTCTTGAAAACGTAGAGATATTTAATAGAGAACCTGAGGAACTTCTGATCATCAAGATTGGAGAGGTATAAGTAATGGTTAGGAGTTGGGGTTATTGGTTGGATTAAGGTGGGTTGGTTGTGGTACAAAGAGTTAGGAAGTTCTGAGGAATTTAGCATATTT